GGTCAGGAACAGTCTCTGACTTGGGGGGGATGGTAGTAACCAGTTATTAATCCAAGGCATCATTATGATGCAAATATCCTGAGTACTAAGCTTAGCAGTTGAAAACACTTCATGATGATTAATGTAAGGGGCTCTTAAAGTTGTGACTGTTACTTATTTTTAATTACTATGTCTTGCCACTTTTCACCTTTTACTGAAAAATAGCTAAGGAATTCTATAAAGGTGCTACTGCTACCCTGAAATTAAATTGACTTCTTTCTGAGTAATAAGCTGAGGAATATCACATTTCTCAAATAGTCTGGGCTATCACATATCTGGATGCAGGTTTTTTCACAGAAGTTCACTAAAAGATGAAAAGAAATAAGAAATTAAACTAGCGGCAAAGTATATGTTATAGCTTGTATCTTTGCTCAACCTGAGGAAGATTTTACTGGATCTGGCTCAGGAAATTGAATAGTCTATGGGTTTGATTGTTTTGATTATCCACATAAATGTTTATTTGGGAGATAGCAAGGTAAAATTCAACTTTAACAAATATTTATTTGTCTAACCTGGTGGGATGTCACACCTGGTAAATGCTATATTGAGGTTAACTACCAAGTAACCCTCTGAGATGGAAAGGTAATGTGGCTTGAGTCAAAATAAGATGATGCTATCTGGGATTTTATAATTGGCATTTGTTGCCTGTCTTACTATCAGCTTTAGCCTCTTTTCCCAAGTGTATTAATAATGCAAGGGGATGTAAAGCTGTTAATAATTCATCTCTGCCTATCAGTTCCTCACACAGACATACCTAATCAGTAGAGCAGGGCAGGACTTTTCAGGACAGTTTCCATTATGACGCTCACCTGTGCCTCTGGAATCATGTCATGCATTCAGAATGGGAGGTTGTAGCCAACAACCTTTCCTAACAAATACTTTCATTTAGGCTTTATCCTGTGGCAGTCTCTGTACTGTATGAATTGGTTCTGCTTGTAATCAACAAAACTGAGGATTTTCACTCTATATGTGCAGAAGTAAAGCACATATAGAGTGAAAGGAAAGCATACCTTCCTCTTGCTCGAAATATAGCCAGTCCGGTATCTCCGTAATGCAAACAGCAGAGGTGGGAAGGATAGCAAATCCAATGAATAATTTATAAAGTATCAAATCTATCCACATGCCAAACAACAAAATCATCAAAGAGGAACATGACTAAAGCCTGATGTATGCACCAGAGAACCATGCAGTGTTGATATAGTTCAAAGATAGTCACGTGCAATAATGAAACACGGAGGCAGATTTCTTGAAGATGTTGGTGAGCTGGGTCCCAAGGCATCTGATAAAAAAGTGTTAAAAAATAAGTTATGTAAATAAAACTGTAACTCTCCAAATCCTTGATCTGCAATTTTAGTTTTTTAGCAAAACATTTTAATCGTATTTTTTGTGTATTTAATTTTACCTTCATCTTAGGCCATGTAATGGCTTTTGTCAGTAAGATGTAAGCCAGTTTCCCCAAATGTCTTTATAGTATATGCTATATATAAGGCAACACATTTTTCTTTCAGTGGTCTTTATCCCTTCTCATTATTTCTGTATAATTATAGATGTATATTTGTTTTTGCATAGAAAGCATTTATCACCTTTGACCCCCCAAAAAAAAAAATTAAATAATTAGTCAGGATACATTAAATTTGATCAGTGGAGATCAAATATCATAAGGGAATTTCAGTTTCCTCTTAATAATCATTTCACTGATATCCATAAATACTCAAAATGTTACCAAAACCAGTGAATAGATTTAAGACCATTCAAAGCCATCTAAAATTAAAAGTGCTATTCCAGAGAGAGTATAGGATGAATGAGTAATTTAGTCATGTTAATTCTTGAAGTTGAAAAGGGAATTCAGCACTTCTTTGGTGTGAATGAAATTTTAGGTACTAAGGCCTGAGTCCTTATTTATGTTTAGCCATGCAGAGACTTTCTACTAGATTATGCAAACTGTTGTAGAAACCATCATAAATATCAATAGAAACAGTTTTCTCATTAAACTTTATGTGTCTTAATAAGTGTATAATCCACCACCCATTAATATCTGATCATAAGTTTTTCAGTCATGGAAACTCTGGTGTTTGTACTGAAAGGGAAGTAGAATTAAAGCTGTTGTGTTCAGCACTGTGTCTACGTCCCAAAAAGAAAAACTGTGTTACCATTGAAAGTTATCTCCAAAAGGATTAAATAGGCTGCAAGTAGTGTGATGAGTGGTTTATTCACAGTTTATTTTGTGTATAATTGAAGTGTTGTCCTGTTCCAATAGTTCTTGGCCTGGTTCTGGTGAATGTATTCCCTTCTGTTGTGCTTTTTATCCTACTAATGTAGATGTAGCCAGAAGGGAACCGTTCAGACCTTGTTGCAGTTCAGAATGTTACTGAAAAGCTATGGTAGAACTAAGTGCAAGGCTTAGCAGTTCAAGTCTTAACAGAAGGAATTCCACTGAAGAACAATTTGGAAACATTTGTCTTCATATCCTTCATTTTACTCTGTTTCAACCAGAAGTTTTGGAATCTTCTCCATATTTAGAGGGGAAAGAAAGAAAAGAAGTAATTTTTAAAAGTAGTGTTGTGGTGTGCATTACAGTTAAAAAAAAAAAAAATAAATCAACTTTTGTTATACAAAGACTTTTGGTGATTTTGGAAATACTAGGGAAAGTTTCAGGCATTTCAAATTTTATTATTTGATGTATTAGTTGGTGTTAATTTTATCTCTTCATGCTTCTGAAAGATTTGCCATACAGTGATCTAAAAGCCCCAGTTCTGAAGTGCTTTCTGACTAGACAACTGGCATTGACTTCGAGGAAGTGATGTCAGGTGCTATAAAATTAGCATGTGTTTATAGATCTCAAATTTTGTAGAAAAAAGAAGCTGAATTATTTCTCATAGTCTTTTACACAGGTAAAAGGTAGTCTTAACCTATATTTCTTTAAATTTTAGTTTAGCACTTAGAGAGTTTACTTAGAGAGTTTAAAATAGTATATAAAGTTACACTATCATCTTCTTGAGGTTATGATATCAGATAAATTTTAGCTAAATGATGGTTTTAGCTAATGAGGGTTTTAGCTAATGATGGTTTTCAGTAGATAATTTATATTGGCTACAGGGACAGTCTTACTTTGTGTGTCTTTAGAACATTGATTCAGTTGAAAATGGTTAACTATGCTGGTATCTACTGTCACAGTAGAATATGATGATAGTGTTAGAAGGACCATTCTTCCACTCCTGCATTGAAATTCTTTGTGAACCACCATCCATTTGCTTTGGAGAATGCACTTAAGGAGCTGGACTTACCTTTCATGTGAAAAAAGTGACATTGCCAGTGTAAATTGCATTTTATATGTTGTTTTGAAATAAATCCAGATCATACATTCAGATAATTCTCTGTTTATGAAGACTGTCCAAGATACATGTCTATTAAGAGGGACAGATTTGGCATGGCATAGCCTTTTATTGGGTGTCACTGGAAAGACTGGAAGTTTTGGCAAAGATATAGCCAAATATACTGTTGGTCAGTATCTTGATTTATATTTGGTATTTTGCTTAAACCAATCATAATACAAGCTGAAAGGAGTACATTGCATGCAGATTTTGCAAGTCTCAGGGAATGTTGTTGAAAGATGTGTTTTCAGATGGAATTCCTATGGATAGGGTAGCCTGGACAGACACAAAAAATTTGTCATCGAATATGTGCTTACCATGTAGGCTCATAAATACTGGTGAATTTGACCTGTGCATACCTAAGTAATGTTACTTAAGTTAGAATTTTAATATAATCAGTCTTAAAAATTCAATTTTCTAATTTCTGGAAATTTCAAATACTCTTCTGCTGTCAGGTCCCAAAGGACCTGCCAGGTGGTCTAGTCTGGGATCACAGGCAATACTGGTGTAGACTTTGAGGTTCTCCTGGTGTGCAGCAATACAGAGTGTTTTCTATGGCTGTTAAATGTGTACTGATAAATGTACTGCGGGTTACACTTGACTTAAATGTTCTGGTAGGTGATGAGCCAACTCAGGGTTTGGTGACTTAGGAAAGGGTTCACTTCATAATATCAAAAATAGGCAGCTACTCAAAGCTGGTGGCTTATTTTATATTTATGGGCAAAGATATCATAATTCTTCCATTTTGTCTTTGATAAATGCTTTTTTGTGAAGAATCCTGGATCTGCTTATATCTTTCTTTATTTCTTAGATAGAAAAATTATTAGTGTCAGGAAATAGCTTTCCTAAGGCCATTGACATACAGTGAGAGAACAAATTGCAGAACATTGTCTCATTCCCTGTAACTTTGCACATTTTTATTTGCATTCGTTAAGCTGTCAAGTGGTTTTGAAAGGCTCATTTTGTTTTTTCAGTAAGGAAAAAATTCCTGCCCTTGCTGAAAATCATGGTGAAGTCTAGATTAAACACCCGCAAAAGGTTATCAGTCTTAGCATTTTCTTTACAGAGACACAAGCATGTACATCTTATTTTGCTTTCAGAAAATATGATACTTTCATGTTACTCTTCTAATTTGCTTTTTTAGGTAAACCTCTTGAGTCAGTGTACAATTTTTTAGGTATATAAATGAACTTTAGCTTGGTACAGCATTACTGTAAGCAATAATAATTAACGTATAAGTTTTTTAATCAAATATTTCTTTTAAAAATTATTTCATATTCTGAAGTACTTCAGTTGAATTTCTGGTTCCATTGAAATCAGTGGTCAATTATAGTCAGTACCTGTTTCTTCAGCACAATTGGCCCTTGAAGGTTTTTATATATACAGTTTTATTGCATCATACTATATGATCATATATAAGGATATATAGATATTTCAACAACATATTACACAGATTTTTTTTATCAATACCAAATGTTAATATTTATGTAGTTCAAAATCTGTGATGTTGCTTCATTATATTGTTGTAATTCAAATACTTGAGATGAAGTTTTTTAATTTATTCCATACATTATTTTTTTTTCTTTTTAGCTTCCCCATGGGTAGATAAAAGCCGAACTCCTAACAAAATAGATCTGTATGATGTACGCAGAAGACCATGGTAAGCCTTCTTTTAAAAGGTTTGGTACATATATACATCACCTACTTTCTAGATATTACTGTAAAAACATTTTTTTCTGTTTATTTATATCTGGTACTCCCTACTTTTAGGTATTGTTATTTCCCTTTTAAAATTAGTTAATTCTTCTGAATAAACAATTTTCAAATCATATTCCTTGTTGTGCAATATCCACTGTAGTGTGTCATACTGTTGCATTGCGTGGACCTTTTCATAACTATCAAATAAAATTATAAGGCAATTAAAAACTTTTTATTTTGTACCAAAATAAAATATAATTCAGAGTATTAGACTGAACCATTTTCCAGACTTTTGCAAGTGTTTAAAAAATGTCTCAGTGGTTTAGACCAGCAATAAAATCACTAGATTACTAAAAGACAGAAGAGCTGTGGGATTACTTCTCGCGATTTTTTTCTATAAGCCTCCCAAGACATGAAGAATATTGATACTTGGATGTAGTTGGATATGTTTTTTTCAGAGGACTGAATATTTGTCCCTAAACTGGTCTGAGTGATAATTCATGTGTCATCAAGATCTTTAGCTCTGAAATAGCATTCATTTTTTTCATTTTTAAACATCTGAAAACAGTGAATTTTGATCAGTGTATTCTACTTCCAGATTTCCCCAGTGTGGTTTAGACTTTGATTTACTTAGAAGACACAGCAAGAGAGAAAACAACAACACATGTTTTTTGTACTAGATACAACAGCAGGATTTTGTTGGTTCAGCCAGTTTGAGTTTAGAGATCACAGAGTGTCTTCCATCACTCACAAAAAATGTGTTTTCAAATTTGTCTCAATTATGTCATTTATTTATTTCAGGTATATCCAAGGAGCTGCATCTCCCAAAGACATGCTTATTTTAGTTGATGCGTAAGTGTTTAATGTCTTAATATTGACATTAGAGGGATAAAAGTACCTACATGTGTTGAACGAATCTCTGTGTGCTGAAAAATAGAGAGGGGATTAAGAGGTCCTTATATGCAAAGTTCAAAACTCTTGGTATGAGCAAAATAAATACACAGTAAAAAATATTTCAAAAAGCCCAAACCAAACCCGAAAGTTGCTTTGGGTAGCTGGGGACAAGGTAGCTGTTTTTTCTAATCTCTTCAATATTATTCTGCTTTCAACTTACTAATTAGAGAAGTAATCAAGTGAATACTTCTCATGTGCACACCAAAATTTGTTGTAGAATACAAACCTAAAACCAAATTACTAGAAGCATTACAGTAGATGCAACTGTGATTTTGTAAGCCTGAAAGATAAGAACATATGCAGACTTTGTATGTTTTACCATACATTTGGTTACTGTAGAACATTACTAGAAAGTGAGCAAACAAATTAATGAAAGCTCTCTCTTTACACTGATGAGGCTTCCTTGGTGTAGCTAATGTTGAGGGACTGAAGGAAGCACTGAACCTGATGTCTCAGACTGCTTTATTCTGCAAAGTTTCTCAGTCAGAGAATTTGCATTTAATGTTTTCACATGTGGTGAACTGCTTTCATATCAGCAGTGAGTTTTATCAACACTTGTTGTTTCTTCACTTCAGCTTAGATTTTGCCTTGTATCAAACAAGCTGTCATTTGCACATCTAAAATCTAAGGCTGTAAATCTGTGTGTGGGAGTTTAAAATATTTAGATAAGGCATTGGTAAACTTTCTCAGACTTTTTGAAAAGAAAGTGAGGAAATGATGTATCATTATAACTTCAACTAAGCCACAGGACTGGGACTTTGAATGACAGTTTTGGACTTAATTTAGTAATTATTAATAGTGTAATAATACTAGTGATGAGTTGGAGCATTCAAAAGCTAAACTGATAATTTTAGTGTGAAAGCTGATCAGAGTACTGGTGAGTGTTCTGTATTTTCCTTGTACATTTTACATAACATTTATTAAATTCAACTTTTTTCTTATCTTGTGGATTTTTGTTAGGAGTGGGAGTGTCAGTGGATTGACATTGAAGCTGATCCGCACCTCAGTCATTGAGATGTTAGAGACATTGTCTGACGATGACTTTGTGAATGTAGTTTCAGTGAGTATCTGTTCTTTCTACAAAATTTGCATTGTCAACAAAGCTATAAGCAAACTATTTTTAATCCTGGATATGAGATACTTGAATGTTAAGCTGCAGAGAGACTTAAAATATATTGCAAAACATCGCATTAGGATTTTTTTTTCCTATAAAGTAAAATGGATGTCCTGGAATTGTTATTATATATACATTTCAGTGAAGGGCAAAAGTCATTTAAATAAACCTCTGCAAAGCCAAATTCTCCTTTCCAGTATAGTACTATGGTCTCTATAACACATCTTTCATTAGATTGGTATATTCAAATTCTCTTGAAATAATTGATGATTTCCAAGTTTTCCACACAGCAGATATTCAGGTTGCTCATGTTGATTGATGCATGATGAGAGAACGTGTATGATGAACATGATGAGAGAATATGTACAGCCATATATCTGACTTACCAAAGAGCTGTTGCTGAGAAGTTCTACAGTTAGCAACTTGATGGGTAGCAAAGCAATTTTTTCCCATAATAAATAATAAAATAGAGGGTATGGGCAACTTTCAGTTTTCAGGCTGATACCTTGGATGTCATGTCCTAGCCTCAGGCAAGGCTTTTTTTATTTTTTATTAAGCTGTTCAACTGTAGAGCTTTGATTCTAAGGATTTAGGATAGGAATGTTGACATACTCATAATGACAAGAGACAGCCTGAATGATGAGTAACTGGAATGATTTTGGAGATAATTTTCAACTTCTGCAGTTGTGTTGTAGCCAGCCTGAGGGAGAAAGACCTGAAATATAACTAAAAGAAGTCTTTTTTAAAACCACTTATTGCTTCGTTGTTTGCTGTCAGTCTAGCCAGATCTTTCTCCAAGTAGCAGACAAGCCCTTAGTGTCAATAGTATTTCCTTTGTTAAAGTTTTTAATAGTAGATTAGACCATTTTCTTTAGTATAAATCGCAGTGAAAAAAGATAGAAAAATGGTTTTTATTATTATTATTAAAGGAAATAAGCTTTTCTATAATGGTATTAGGGAGCTAAAATCTTGTTGTTAGGTTCAGTGATTTAAAAAACAAAAAGCTGGTAATCCTAAAGTGATGGAAATTGATTACTATGTTCAGTGGAGCTGTGCCCCCTTTCACTGCTGGAAAATCTGGACCCCTACTACCCCTTGATTTATACAGTTTTCCAAACTCTCTCCTTACGCTTTCTCCCAGATGACCAGAAATAGTGTATCTTAAAACTAAGCCTTTCTTAGGCTCTGGGTATTTTATTAGCTAAGGTTCAGTGTTATTCTGGTGAGGTCCCAAGGTTGGGATTTGTGTCAAAAAAGAACTGGAAATCCTTGAATATTTTCTACAGTACATTTTCCCACTGATTTGTAACTTAAAATATATAAGAATCTTTTTTTTTATTTGAATGAACTTTAGAGGCTCACAGCAGATATTTGACTGCAGAACGGAAGAGTACATTTTGGTCAGACTGTGTTCATCATCAGAGGAGGGCAACACTCACAGAAATGTACATAATAGAACATAGCATCTCTAAATTCTTATTTATAAAGTGCTATTTGGTATTGTGCACTTAAATTTAAAAGTCTATATTAGATACTTTCAGTATTGTAATTTTTTTTGTATAATATTTTCATGTATTCAGATGATTTACGAGTGGAATTGTGGTGGACACTGTGATATGACACGTGCATATTTTATTTCTCTAACAGACAGGAAATCATATGCTATAGATAGGAAACAAATGGTTGTACTGCTACAAAGCATTCTACAAGTGAGAGAATGGAATGCAGAAGTTTGGTCTTTTTTAAATTTATTTTTCCTTTTTTTAAAAAAGCTTTTACTTTGGTTTGCTCAGTTTTTCCACCGTTCCAACTAAAGCCTCGAAGTTAGCACTAGAGGTGCCACTGCTCAAGGAGGTGATATATTATCAGTATTATTTGTTCTTAGGATTATTCACAAAAGCATGTACACAGGCCTCGCTTCTATGAGGAATTAATCCACTGCAAAGTTGGTATTAGTTGCTGTACTCTCTGCATGTATATTACTTTATTTTTCTGTTTGATTTAAGTATCTTTACACCTGAAATACAACAGGGCACTAGAACAATCATTATTCTGATCATTCAGTCAGATCTTTGAAAATTTCATACATGGCTTTTATTTAGAAGGTCTGAGATCTTTATTCAAATACTAAATTCAACATTTTATTGCTTAGTTTTTTCCCATTTATTCTTACTTGTATACCTTTGTCAAAAAGCTTGATAATATATTAGGTTTAGGTACTGTGTTAAATGGCAGATGGTTCATTAATTCTTGTTTAATTTTAAAATAATATCTTTTTATTTTTCCAAATGGTCTGATGATCATCTAGAGATATGGTGTTACACAAAAGATCATCTGGTCAGCAGTGGTGTTCCCCAGGGCTCAGTGTTGGGTCCAGTCCTGTCCAATGTCTTTGTCAATGCTCTGGACAAGGGGATTGAGTCTCCCTTAGTAAGTTTGCAGCCAGGTTATGTGGGAGTGTTGGTCTGCTGAAGGTAGGGAGGCTCTGCAGAGAGGGATCTGGGCAGGCTGGATTTATGGGTTGTGACCAATCGTGTGAGGTTCAACCAGACCAAGTGCACTTTGGTCAATAACCCCATGCAGTGCTACAGGCAGGGGGAAGAGTAGCTGGAAAGCTGCATAGAGGAAAAGGCCCTGGGGGTGCTTGTTGACAGTGGCTGAAAAGTTGCCCATGGCCGAAAAGGCCAGTGACATCCTTGCCTGTATCAGCAACAGTGTGGCCAGCAGGACAAGGGCAGAGGCTGTCCCCTGGTACTTAGCAGTGCTGAGGTCACACCTTGAATCCTGTGTTCAGTTTTTTGCACCTCACTACAAGAAGGACACTGAGGTGCTGGAGCATGTCCAGAGAAGAGCAACGGAGCTGGTGAAGGGTCTGGAGCAAAATTCTCATGAGGAGCTCCTGAGAGAACTGGGGTAGTTTAGCCTGGAGAAGAGGAGGCTCAAGGAGACATCACTCTCTACAACTACCTGAAAGGAAGGTTGTAGCCAGGTGGAGAGCAGCCTCTGCTCATGAGTGACAAGCAATAGGACACAGGGAACGGCCTTCAAGTTGTACCAGGGAAGATTCAGGTTGGATATTAGGAAAAATTTCTTCTCTGGAAGTGTTGCCAACCCACAGAAGTGGTGGAGTCACCATCCTGGAGGTTTTTAAAAGATGTGCAGATGTGGCACTTAGGGACATGATTTAGTGGTGGACTTGGCAGTATTAGTATAACAGTTGGACTAGATAATCTTAAAGGTCTTTTCCAAACTAAATGATTCTATAAGTCTATGATCATGATTCACGGAGTATTCTGTAACAGAGAAGGCATGTCCAAAGTCCAGCTCCAGTGCTTTCTTAATAAATCCAAAACCCAAAATATCAACTCAAATTTTTTTTCTCAGTGAAATAAATGTAGATTTATTCAATATGCTTCTTGTTATTGCTTAAGAAAATTTTCTCTTGAAGAATCCTGCTATTAGACATGATTGGCTATATAAAAAGTCCAAAAAGCTAAGTGAAAATGTTCAGTTAATACATTATTAGCAGATGGATATGTGAACGCTAGCACTATACTGGAAGTTATCTACAATTTTTCTTTCCCTTATGGGTCTTTTGGCCTAAAACATGACAGTTGTTTTATGGCTTGTTAGCTTTAATAACCATAGAGTCTTTAGTATGAGGTTTTGAGTTAACTACAGAGCTGTTTTACTGCTAACCTCTGCTGAGATGTTGTCCCACAAAGCCCATATGTATGATGATTCATGCCCACAACTGAAAGACATGGATTTAAGCTCATGCCAATCACTTCTTGAAAGTGACAGGATGATTTAATGAATTGAGCCTCGTATTTGAAGAAATCCTAGGGGAAAAAAGCTCAAAAAGTAGATGTTTTAAAAACATTAGTTCTACTGATTGAACATAGTTCTTGCATTTATTTTCAGTGGAGAAAGGTTGAATGAACTATTAAGTCACATAAAGATAGTTAGGGGTTAACATGTCATGGTTTCCTCTGGGATTTGCATGTTTCTTATCTGAAGTGCTGTGCTTTGTTGCAGGGCGAAAACCTGCTGTTTGAAGGAGCTTAAATGTATGAGTAATACAGCTGTTTTCCCACTAATCCAGTTATAGGCTTTGATAGCAGTGAGTGGTAGATGATAGGGGCAGCAATTCCGTCCCAGCACGTTGTGATTTAGTGACTTGGTTTCAGATGTTGACACAGGGAGTGTAATTTGTTTGTGACTGTGGGTATTGTGCGGGAGAAATGTATTTCAAATCTGTAGAGGTATGGAAAACCACACAAAGGAAAAACCTCCCTTACAGCAGCAGATGTGTTAAAGGTCAGGAGCTGTAGAACTGTTTAAATTCACTTAGCCTTAGTAAAAACCCAAACTAGTATTTACTGTTTAGGAGCTGGAAAATAAATGTCATGAGCATACAAGATAGAACAGAATCATACACTGGGAAAATTGAAAGCTCATCTCCTGCTCTTGTGCAGTTCTACACATCGAGTAAACTCAGAGGGAAGGTGATAGAAAAAGCTATGCACCCAGCCTATGAAATTATACTGGGGCATAAAAGCAATCTGTGGAAGATACATCCCTTTTTCCACTGATTTTTAATAGCAGTTTTTCATGTAATTCTACAGCTCAATGGTTGCAAAACTGTTTACTTTGTCTGCCTTACTCCCAAGTTGGTACAGTATTTATACCTTCCTAATTTAAATGTTTAAATATGATAATGAGCGGGGAAGTTCTTTAAGGGGCTGTCAGTTTGTCAAAGGGCTCCTTTCCCTTTCTGCTACATGTTCCATCATGTATTCTGCAATTAATATTGCTCCTATATTCTCTTAAATACAGGGAAATATTCCTTCCTTATGGGACCTACTTTATTAAGGTTGTTTAAAAAAATTAACAAGCATGCGATGGGTGGAAACTTCAACCTGAAGTCCTAGTAAAGGGAGGAG